AGTGTCCATGTTATATGTGTTTTGGGGGGATCTTATTAGTGGCAATATTTATTTTTATTCCACTGTGGTCTGAGAAGGTGTATGGTAGTATTTCAATCTTATGAAATTTGTTTCTGCTTGGTTTATGGCTGAGTTTTGTGGTCGATCTTGGAGTATATTCCATGTGGTGATGAATAGAATGTATACTCTGTGCTTGTTGGGTGGAGTGTTCTGTAGGTATCTATTAAGTTCATTTGGTCAAGTGTCATGTTAAGGTTCTGGATCTCCTTATTGATTTTTTTGCCTTGATGATCTATCTAGGGTTGTTAGTGGGGCATTTAAGTCCCCAGTTATGATAGTGTTAGTGACAATATCCTTTTTTAGTTTACTTAGTAGATGCTTTATAAATCCTGGTACTGCTGTGTTGGGGCCATATATATTTTGGATGAATATTTCTTGTTGATGGATTGAACTTTTATCATTAAGTAGTGTCCTCCTTCTGTGTCTTTTTAAATTTTTGTTAGCTTAAATGTTGTTTTGTCTGATATTAGAATTGCAACTCCCACCTTCTTTTGTTTTCTGTTCACCTGAAAGTTTGTTTTTCATCCTCTAACTTTTAGTCTGTGTGTATCCTTTATAGTGAGATGTGTTTCTTGGAGGCAGCATATTGTTTGGCCATGCTTTTTTATGCAGCTTGCTATTCTGTGTCTTTTCAGTGGTGCATTTAGTTCACATTCAGGTTGACTATTGAAATGTGAGAGTTCAGCTCTGTCATAAAGCTCTTATGAAGTTTATTTGGTTTCTTTTAACTTTTGAGTTGATGTATGTGTGTGTTTTCAAATTTGCAGTTGTAATGTATTCTCTGTTGATTGTGTATTTTCTTGTTTCTTGGGAAGTATATGATCATTCTTTTTTTTCTGTCTTCTGTGATTAATACCTTCTTAAGCATCTCTGGTTGAGCTTATCTGGAAGCAACATAATCTCTTAGGGATTGGATGTCTTGGAGACTTTTAATTCTCTCTTGCTGATGAAGCTTAGCTTAGTTGGGTAGAAAATTCTTGATAGAAATTGTTTATCTTTGAGAACTTTGAAAGTTGGACTCTAGTCACTTCTAGCTGGGAGTGTTTTTGTAGATAAGTCTGCTGCTCTTGTAATTGGTCTTCCCCAGTAGGTAGTCTGACTTTTCTCTCTCACTGCCTTTAGATTTTGTTCTATTTTATAACTACTTTGTGTAAGCAAATTACTATGTGTCTGGAAGTTGGTCTTCTCATTTGATGCCTTGCAAGGGTTCTTTGAATCTCTTGTGGCTGGATGTTCACATCTCTGGCAAGATGAGGGAAGTTTTCTTAGATAACCTCATGGAATGTTTGTTTCAAGGTTTTTTCTGTCTCTCTTTCTGCCTCAGGTATGCAAATCAGACATAAGATCAACCTCCTAATACAAATACACACCTCTTAGAGCCTTTGTTCTGCCTTTTAAAGATTACTTTCTATGTTTTTGACAGTTTGGGTTAGTTTCATATTTTGGTCTTCAGGCTCTGAGATTCTTTCTTCTGCTTAGTTTATTCTGCTTTCCATGCTTGTCAATTTGTTATTTATTTTGTTCACTGTGTTCTTTATTGCCATCATCTCAGTTATCAGCTCTTTCATTCTGTTTTCTTGCCTTTCTTCATTTTTTTGCATCCTCTTGATATCTGGATTTGTGATTTGAGACCATTCATTCTAGGGGCTCTTCATTGTTTAAGTTCCTAAGTCTGTGTTCTCAGATGCTGTCTTTCCAAGGATCTGGGGGATACCTGTATTTCTTCATCAATTCTTCTTCATCTGTGATGATTTTTTTTTTCTTTCCCTTTTCTCCCCCTCTATAAATGTGTTGCTCAGTGAGGTGAGATAGCTTTCACTTCTGTTTACTCAACCCCATATTCTTCCCTAAGAAGAGCCTCTGAATTTGTTCAATTTTGAAACTGGGCTGTGGGTGGGTGACTGTATTCTTTTTGCAGTTCTGAAATTTGATTAAGGTGTAATAGGGGAGCTAAGGTTCAGAGGCTATCTGAAGATTACAGTATTTGCTGACTGGGATATAGGCCCCCTGGTACCCACTTCCCACCACCTTACAATATGTCCATATGGGGGGAGCTTATGTATACCCTCAAATCCAAAATTATATAAGAGAAAGCCGGGCTCAGTAGCTCAGCCTGTAATCCCGCACCTTTGGGAGGCTGAGGTGAGTGCATTGCCTGAGCCCACGTGTTCAAGACCCACCTGGGCAGCAAGACCTCATCTCTACAATAAATCAAAAAATCAGCCGGGCGTGGGAGCGCATGTCTGTAATTCTGGCTACTTGGAAGGCTGAGGTGGAAGGATCACCAGGGCCCAGCAGGTCGAGGCTGCGGTGGCTGGAAGCGGCCACTGCACTCCAGTCTGGGTGACAGAGTGAGACTCCAACTCAAAAAAAAGAGAGAAAGGAAAAGAACAGAGAAAGAAGGAAGAAGAAAGGAAGATGAAGAGAAAGAAGAAGAGGAAAAACAAACAGGCAAGCAAACAAATGGATAAACAAACTAAAAACAAACCAAAAAAAGAAAAAATACACTCAGCCTCACCTATACCCATATGCAAAAAAAAGAGGGTGAAAAAAGGAAAATTAGAACATACACACACAAAGATATGTATAGAGAGAACCACCCAAACAAGCAAGCAAACTTCTGTGAGACTTGAGCTCCCTGTTGTAGCCATTTCTAGAACTTCAGGTTCCTTTTTACTAGCATGTCCCAGTACTGCCACTTTTGGCTTGCTGTGACAGTGAGTAGGCTCTGGTCTCTAGACCCACCCCCCTGCTCTCCGTGTAGTCAGAGGGGACTTTTTGTGGTGGATCTACCTGCCTGTGTTCAGTCATTTCTGTGCAGGCCAGTCAGGCCACTATCCATGTGGATCAGATGTCCCATGAACTGCTGGGAAAGGGGGCTGAATCAGTTCATGATTCATCTCTAGTCATCTGCTGCTAGGACTCATGCTCTGTTTGCACTCATCATCCTGTAAATGGTCCAGTGAGCGAGGTGGGGCATCTGGAATTCCTCCCTGGCATTGTCTCCTCAGGTATCATGCACCTGGAGTATCCTCTCTGGGCAAATGATGATCAATCCCAGAGGGGTACGGAACTTGCCCCTCAGTCTCAGAGTACAGGCTGCTTGGTTATATGATGGGTTTTAAGCAGGAGAATCATGTGATCGCAAGATTTTTTTTTTTTTAGAAAAGTCATTTTGGCAGCAGTATGGACAATGACAGAAAACAAGACTTACAATAGAGAGATTCGTTGAGAAGCTATAGAGACAGAATTGGCAAGAAGTAATGAAGTCTGGAGAAATAACTCAAAAAGGGTGGATTTTAGAGAAGTTAGGAAGATAAAAATCAATACTAATTGGTTATAACAAATATTGAGTATAGTAATCCAGGAAGAGTCAAGATGACTTGGAAGAGTCAAACCTGTTCCAGCTTTGACCCTGGAGTGAAAGGTGGTGCCATTTACTGAAATAAGGAAGTCAAGAGAAGCAGTCTCAAGGGTATAGACAAGAAGTTAAGTATGAACATTCTGAGTCTGAGGGTCTGTGGTACATACAAGGTAAGTGATCTGATAGGCAACTGAATGATAGTTTAGGTTCCCAAATGATACATCTAGGTTGAAGATAGAGATGTGTAAGTCATTGCTGAAAAACACTGTGGAAGGAAAAAAATAAGACTGTGCAAAAGACACATGGTAAGAAGAGATGGCCCAGGATGGAACATTGGGGACACTGACATTATAGGAAAGGAAGAAGATGCTATTTATGCTTTTAGACAGGGAAGTAAAAATAATGACTATTTTGTTAGTACAGTCAAGCACCATTAAATCAGCATGCTTGTGAAAAGGAGTAATGTTTTCTTATATCAGCAAGCAGAAATATGGAGAGTTGTTTTTTGGTTATTGGGTTTTATTTTTGCTAGGTTTAATCTTATTTTACTTCATAATTTGATCTCATTATGTTGCAAATAAGTGCATTCTGCTGGCGAGCTCTTACTCTTGACTCGCCAAGAGAACTCTTCTGAGTATTTTACTTCTGAACCTTTCTCTTATTCACTCTTAATAGGGGCCAGTGCTTATAATCCTTGCTTAGCAGGTGTTTTCTCCATATGTTGTGAATGAATGATTAAAGAAATGACATTCCTCTCCATCTCACCAAAGATGGTCTTTTCTTTCAGAAAAGCGTCTCCTTTCTGTGCTATAAGACTGAAGTGGTTATTTCCAGCTTTCCCCCAACAGATATTTTATGTTCTTCCTTTAGGGAATTCTCCTTTCCCTTTGATACATGAAACTTGCTGCTATTGGGTCTTCATCAATTTTTAGCATCCTCAAGTTTTTAAACAGAATTATGCAGTTGAAGAGTTTGGTTATGAGACCACAGATTTGCAAAAAAAAAAAGAAAGAAAAAATGCCTATATAGCAAGTCTCTGAGTTTGTAATCCCAATTAAAGCTGGTAAAAGTCATGAAATGGATATCCTAGCCAAACACAAGGGGCTGTTTGAATCGTCTGTCTTTTTAGACAATCCATGTACCTAATTTATTATTGTAAGAGTTGATGTCTGACTTAATCACTCATGAGTTCAGTGCTAGCCCTTTCAAGAAATGTACAACCTAATTGAGTGTGTGAAAAATTTGCAGTTCAGAACAGTAAAAGTACCAGATATTTTGCATAATTGAAAACATTAGAGAAAACTCAGTGAACTTGGAGCAAAAATTTCGGTAATTAGGTAGACCTTAACCTGGGACTTAATGTGAAAATGGACTAGTTTGGAAGGAAAAAGGGATGTGGTGCCACCTAAGGATGTGAGGTCAAGCAGGGTGGCAGGAATGGATAAAGCAGACAATGTATGAGCAGTAGTGGTGGCTGCAACAGGAGGTAGAGGCAAGTCTTATTATACGTGCCTTTATGGACATCTTCAGAATTACTAAGTATTAATTAAATAAATGCATGGATTTTTCATCCTAGCTGTTTGCCAGTCTCCTTGCTTAAATGGCGGAAAATGTGTAAGACCAAACCGTTGCCACTGCCTTTCAGCTTGGACAGGACATGACTGTTCCAGGTAAGGAAATCAAAAACTAGAGTTCACTTATAACCTAAATGACTCTGAAATTCAATATATGCTGTCTCAAGAGTCAGAAGGTATCTCTGTCTAGTTTGAGTATTTAGTATTTCCTATCCAAAAACAATCCATTTTGAGATTCTCTCTCTGAATTTAAACCAAAGCCAAAACTAAGAAATATTAGTTCAGGATTGACAAATAAAACAATGATATCTCAAAAATAAGCAATCTTGTGCTCACTTCGGCAGCACATCCGCTAAAACTGGAACTCTACAGAGAGGATTAGTGTGGGTCTGCTCAAGGATGACTACAAATTGATGAAACACTTTACAATTTTTTGCAATGAAAGAAAAAGAAAAGAGTTAAATAAGCAAATAAATAAATAATCTTCTTGGACAGAAGATTGCATTTTTCATGTACTAGAATGTAGGGGGCCAGCCCCTGCAAAGAGATTTAGGGGGTCCCTTGGAAGGTGTGGTGGCGTTGGTGATTCTGTAGGGATAGATATTAAAAGAAAGAAAGAGACTGGGGGAGAAAGAAAGAAACTGGACTCTGTCTAGTGCAGAAGCCGATTCTGTAGGAGGGATAGATATTAAAAGAAAGAAAGATGGAGGGATAGATATAAAGAGAAAGAAAGAGAAAGAAAGAAAGTGGACAACTGTTCAACGGATTGAGCAGAAGCCATTTATTGGAACTTACAGTGGGTATTTATCCCCAAATTTTACACAGACAGTCTCACAAGTCTTTCATGTGAACACAAAGTCAGGTGCAGGAGGGGTGTCCCCCACCCCCCTGTGTTTCCTCAGGCATGAGGAAGAAAAATCCCAATTAAATCACAAAACTTTTACATGAACACAAAACCAGGTGAATGAAGGGCATCCCTCACCCACCAGGTGTTTCCTGGAGTATGAAGAGGGGCAATCCCAATTAAATCACAAGACATTTACATGAACATAGAGCCAGATGGATGAGGGGTGTCCCCCACCCACCAGGTGTTTCCGCAAGCATGAGGAATGAGGATCCCAAATCTATCTCACTGTTCCTCATGCTTGGTTAATATTTCTCAAAAGTAATACAACAATTCTAATATCATAATATTCTAATAATCAATAACTTTTAAAATTTATGCATAAACAACACCTAATGACCAACCTAAATCCCAATTCCTCTCTATTTTACGCTAATTTTACCTACACTATAGAAACTTAATTATAGCCCAGACCAATTCCTAAAGAATGCAGCCCACTCCAAAGTATGTGCTGGGCCCTCAGGAATGTGGCCCAGCCCAAAGTTTGTGCTGGACTATTTCTGGTAACCCTAAATAATTATCTATATTATTAAAGTTGGAATAGCACTTTACATGTATATACTAATTCTACAAATAAACTTTTTAATCTTATAAAGAAGCTTGTATTGTATATAAGGCTCCCAAACGTGACCTGAGTTTGAATTATTTTAAGTTTAAAGCTGAAACTGCAGTCTGTGAGAAATGGGAACAATGGACTCCTAAAGTAAGCCATGCCTGTCGTACTCTCATTACTTCATGCTTAGATTATCAAAGTCCCTGCTAGTGGAACGTGGCAAACAGCAAAGAAGGGAAGAGGGAATGGGCCTTCGGCTCCTGAACTCATCCTAGTGGTCTCAGGATCCACAGCCTGCCTAGATCCCTAACGCTCAGGAGGGCCTCCATGGCCAGCTCCCAACACTAGTATGTAAAATAAATAACAAACTCAATATAGTTTATTGAAAATGGCTAATACATGCTTGGGTTCTTGATGACAATAAAACATAGTGTTGAAATTGACAAAAAATGTTTACTTTTAAAGTCAAGTATTTTTGTTTTATATTTTTAGTATTTATATATACTGTATTTCATTGACTACAAAAAAATGTGTGTCAAAATATGTTATTTTAATGGTTTTTCATTTCTGGCCAGGTAAATATTATAGTTTAAAATATTATAGTTAAAAGATATAGTTTAAAATATTATAGTTTAAAAGATCACAAAAATAAGTCAAAGAAAAAATAGTTACAAGATTATTTATGCTTTTTTTTTTAAGTCAGGTTCTCACTTTGTCACCCAGGCTACAGTGCAATGGCATAATCACAACTCACTGCATCTCAACTTCCTGGACTCAGGACACCCTTCTGCCTCAGCCTCCCGAGTAGCTGGGACTACAGGCTTGTGCCACCGTGCCTGGTTAATTTCTTTTTTTTTTTTTGTAGAGACCAGGTTTTGCTATGTTGCCTAGTCTGGTATCAAACTTCTGGGCCCTGGAAATCCTCCTACCTGAAATTCCCAGAGTTCTGGGATTACAGGTGTGAGCCACCACACCTGGCCTATTTAAACCTCAGGAAATATCAGACATATTGTGCCATACCATAAATAAATTTTTTTTTTTTTCTGAGTTGGAGTCTCACTTCATTGCCCAGACTGGAGTGCAATGGCTGCTCCCGGCCACCACAGCCTCGACCTGCTGGGCTCCGGAGATCCTTCCACCTCAGCCGTCCAAGTAGCTGGAACTACAGGCATGCACTACCATGCCTAGCTAATTTTTTGATTTATTGTAGAGATGAGGTCTTGCCAAGTCATCCGGGTGGGTCTCGAACCCGCGGGCTCAAGCAATCCACTCACCTCAGCCTCCCAAAGCATGGGATTACAGGTTGAGCCACCGAGCCCAGCTAAATAAAATATTTTCAATGTTCAAACATTGTCTTCACAAATGTTGCAATGTTAGAATATTATCAATTCTATTTTAAGACTTTCACCATATGTTATTACCTTACATTACTTCAATTTTTTATTATGTATATTTACCCCTATCTTATAGGAATCACTAAAAGCAGATGGGTGCTTCCAATATTCATTTTGTAAAGTGGAAAATTCCATTAACTAAAAATAACTCTTATTTTTCATTCCCTGTTATGTCATTTTGATTTGAATGTCAGAGTCAACTTGCAAAAACAAAAAGCTATTAAAGTAAAAACCTAATTAATAAAAAAATATTTCTTGTGCCAATGAATTTCCTCACGTCATCTCAAGTGTATACCATCTCTGCAAAGAAAGAAAAAATAACTGAACCCTTATTTAGAGTTCATATCTTTAGAAATTGCCAAGATCAAGATGACAGATTTACCTGAGAGCATAGTTGAAAAATTTAAGTAAATGAGATCCAAAAAAAAGAAGGAAAGAAAAGATAAGGAAATAAAAACATGACTCTAAAAGAGCAGAAAGTATTTATAACTTTCTTGTAATATAGACTTTATATTTCAATCCCTTCACTTTACAGATAAGGAAAAGAAAACCCAGAGTTTGCATGATTTTAAAAAATGTGCTCATAGGAGTTCTTTCTTGATCAAGAGAAGGGGAATTATTAGTTTATATAAAAATGCTGCATATTGATAAGAATAACAATCTAGACTTTTATGCAAAGTTTGATGATATATGAATCCAAGAGAAATTGTGACAAATTAAGTTGAAGACATATCCCGCATTCAAGCAAAGGCTAACTAGGATCCCACATCACCAGACAGGTTCTTCTTGAATTGCAGTGGATTTTTCTAGGAGGCCCGTGTTAACTGGGACCCTCTTGTTAAAACTCTAACTAGCTTAAGCAAAGAAAGGAATTTATTCTAACAATAGAGGGGCCTTGAGTGGAACCCAAAGACAAGGGAGTGGCTGAACATCAGGAAGATGAGTACTAGGGACTTGAAAGTCATCTGAGCCTCTCTACCTCCCATCTCACTTCTCACTTCCAGGATTGAGAATTTATGGTTTTTTTGTTGGGTTGGTTTTGGTTTTTCTGTCAGGGTCTCACTCTGTCACCCAGGCTGGAGTGCAGTGGCATAATCACAACTCACTGCAGCTCGACTTCCTGGGCTCAGGAGATCCTTCGGCCTCAGCCTCTCGAGTACCTGGGACTACAGGTGTGCACCACAACACCTGGCTAATTTTTTAGTAAAGACCCAGTTTTGCTATGCTGCCTGTGCTGATATCAAATTCCTGAGCCCTGGCAATCCTCTGATTGGTCCAGATTGATTCTGGGGCCCATCATGAATCGATAAACTCTAGCCCTAGGTTGGGTTATGTTGTACTAACATGTAGGGTAATTTTGTCAAAATACTGAATAAAGAGGAGGGGAGCCTGGAAATTCCCAGAATAAAGTAAAGTGAGTATAATTTCCTAAAATGGGAGAGGGAGACTGTTTCCGAGATGTCAAAACAATAAATGTTTCCAAATAATATTTTCCTTCTCTCCCATTAGACTGCCTTAAAGATCGTACACCTAGTGCCTTGCACAAGCACAGAAATAAAGTGAATGCTCAGTAAATGCCTGTTGAGAGATGGAACAGTTTCCTGGCATGGGTGTCTGCTGGTAGAGAAATACCTTGTAGCATCAACCTGTAACCCTCTCTACTGATGAATAAGATTGACCTGGCCTGGTTCCCTGGAAGTCCAGTCCTTAAGACATTGTGTTTGCTCTGACCTCTGTGCACATCTTCAGAAAACTGATCCACAAAAAGTGCCATAATTAAAAACCACAGGTTGCTAGTACTCTAAAGGCCCTTAGTTCATGAGATCCAAACTCCTCATTTTATAGGTGAGAGGATTGTAAGACAGGAAACAAGTGGCAGAATCAAGACTAAAACTCAGGTCTGCTGCTTCTCAGATCTTTTCATAAGTTAGCACCTGTTCTTCACGCCCTGCCACTCTCTCAAGAAGTGAGCCCCATCCCAACAAACAACATCAGCAGTTAACTAATTAACAATAGTTAATACCTGGGAATCTGAGACATTCAAGTCTGTTTTAGTCAACCCCAAAAGAGCTTTTACCTCTTCAGAAATGTCTGTTGAATCTATTTGGGCTTTTGTTTTTCCCCCAGGAAAAGGAGGACTGGGTTTTAACCACTGCACAACCAGCTGGCTCTCCCAATAGCAGGATCATCTCCTCCTGATAGCGCCTGGGCATCCTGGAACAGACGCAAAGAAAGTCCAACATGGTGCTGGGTCTCGTTTTGTTTAGTAAACTTATTATTTGGGGTTTACTTTTTTATTTGGTGATATATTTTGTTACTCCTTGTGACATACTTTCTTACATGTTTCCATTTTTAAATATGCCTGTATTTTCTATATAAAAATTATATTAAATAGATGCTGCTCCACCCTCACAAAATGTACATATTCTGTTGTCTATTGGGAAAGTTCTTGGTACACATTTTTATTCAGTTAATTAAAATGATTTTTCAATTAAAGTATATTTTGCTACTAAATGCTATTTTGCGGGTAGTGCCATTTTATGAGGTGGCCAGGGAACAATAAAGAGAATTCAGGATCTTTCATCTGTGCTACTGACAAAACGTAGGGTCACATGGAATGCGCCAAGTAATTACAATAAAGGAGACCTCCCTTCATTCCGATTCCGTTTTCTTTATATGTATAATTAAAGTGCTCCCCTTCCTTCCCAAAGCTGGAATATGAAATGCAAGAACTGGAGTTTAACAGAGAGTTCATACCTAGACCTTAATCCCACAGCTCGCTTCTTTAGAAGAAGGGAGATAGGAAGGGGGAAGACAGGGAATGAGAAGGAAAGTCAAACGGGAAAGGTTCCTCAGAGCTTAGAGAGTTGATTTTTTTCCAAATAAAGTTATAGACAACATAATTCCAATCATATTTGCCATATTGAACTTTAAGGGGAAGCATAGTGGCACACACCTGTAGTCCTAGCTACTCAGGAGGTTGAGGTAGGAGAATCGCTTGAGCTCAAGAGTTTGAATCTAGCCTGGGCAACATAGTGAGACTGTGCAACTAAAAAAGCAAAATAAAAAAAGAATTTTTTAAACATTGTGAGGGGAACATTATCAAATTATTTATTCTAGTGTTCATTAAGAAAATAATGGAAAATTAAAATAGTTTTGAGAAAAATGATGAAAATATTATCTTTATTAAAAATCAAAACATAACAGAAAGCTGCAGTAACTAAAATAGTGCATGCAGGATCAAAGAATCACAAAAGTATTAATGCATACATCTATACATACAAATGCAAACATCTTATTTAAAAACTCATAAGTTTTCAAGAAGGCATGAGTAGTGAAATTTTTTGTTATCAAATATTAGAAAGTGAGAGAGGAAAAATATTGAGTGACTCCATTCAACAATTAGTAAAAATTTGAGAATCTTTATTTTTGTATTCTCACCATACAACAAAAACAAACGTGAATTGGGGAGTTACATATTGATTTGAAAACCATAAATATGGTTTTTGTAGTTAGTTTCTTCAAGTATTTGAAGGGCTAAAAAACCTGAAAGTTATAGTAAAATTACAGTGGGAATGGTGAGCAGAGTTGACAGCATAAGTAAATTGACAGTTCTGAAAGTCGTTCAAAAAATTGCATAAAAAATGTTTTATGACAGAACAAGGAATAATGTTTTATTATAATGCGTTTAGCATATATATGGGGAAAAAACAAAACTCAAAAATACAGACAACTCACCAAAAAATGCAATAAGCTCACATATATGTGAGAAAATGTTCAACCTCACATAGTATGCAAATTCAAATAACAGTAGAAACCATTTTGCATATCTGATTAGTGTTGACTTATTTTTAATGGTACCAACCAATGCTGGGAAATATGAGATGAAATAGAAAATTTTATACATTATCAGTGAGAATGTAAATTTGTATGATAATTTTTGACTGTTTTATTTTTCCAGCTTTATTGAGTTACCTTTGACAAAAATTGTGTGTACTCAAAGTGTACAATGTGATAATTTCATAACAACGTATATTGTGAAATAATTACCACAATCAAATTAATGAACACATCCATCACCACACATAGTTTACCATTGTGTATGGGTGGGGGGGTAAGGACACTTAAGATCTATTCTCTGCCGGGCTCGGTGGCTCAGCCTGTAATCCCAGCGCTTTGGGAGGCTGAGGTGAGTGGATTGCCTGAGCCCGTGGGTTCGAGACCTGCCTGGGCAACTTGGCGAGACCTCATCTCTACAATAAATCAAAAATTAGCTGGGCGTGGTAGCGCGTGCCTCTAGTTCCAGCTACTTGGAAGGCTGAGGGGGAAGGATCGCTGGAACCCAGCAGGCGAGGCTGCGGTGGCCGGGAGCGGCCACTGCACTCCAGTCTGGGTGACAGAGTGAGACTCCAACTCAAAAAAAAAAAAAAAAAATCTATTCTCTCAGCAGATTTCAAGTATACAGTACAGTATTTTTAACTGTAGTCACCATGCTGTACACTAGATTCCCATAACTTAAGTCATCAAGAAAGTACAATGGTTGGCCGGGCTCGGTGGCTCAGCCTGTAATCCCGCGCTTTGGAAGGCCAAGGTGAGTGAATTGCCTGAGCCCGCGGGTTCGAGACCCGCCTGGGCAACTTGGGCGACTTGGGCAACTTGGCGAGACCTCATCTCTACAATAAATAAAAAATTAGCCGGGTGTGGTAGCACGCGCCTGTAGTTCCAGCTACTCGGAAGGCTGAGGTGAAAGGATTGCCAGAGCCCAGCAAATCGAGGCTGCAGTGGACGGCAGCAGCCACTGCACTCCAGTCTAGGTGACAGAGTGAGACTCCAACTCAAAAAAAAAAAAAAAGAACAATGGTTGTCATGGAAAACACTTTAAAAACTGTTGAGGAAAAGAATAATTAAATTAACCAGATATTGAAATGCAAATATTAAATAACTAACTCAATTATACCGACCCACAAAAAGCTAGATTGATGTCTATTGTAGTATAATAGATAAATAATCAATAAACAGAACCTAGTACAAATAAGACAATATGTAATGTAGGAGATATTCACTGTTAGGCTGGATCTTCCAAGAAACAGAGGCCAAGACAGGATTACACAGGCAAGAAATGTATTAGAGAAAATGCTTATGATGGAAAATAGGTTGAGAACTGGAAAAAGGTAAGGGTTAGCAGACCCAATGCATGCCTAACCCTAAGTGAGGGAGAAGGGAAGGAAGAAGGTAGGTGGAAGCATCTTAGACTACAATGCAGCTCTTTAGAAAAGTCCAGCAAGACCATCTGAGAGTCCTTGAGTCAAAATCACCTTTCAGAGTAGACCTCTGTCTCTTAAGGTCAGGCCTGCATGGGTGTCCCTGCTGCACTCAGTGTCTGGCAAGGAGCAGCTCCTTGACAGTCTCAGAGCACAAATACAGTGAAGGATTTCAGGGCACAGCAGCTAGAGTTCTTAATAAACTATGCTCTCTATGGATGGAGAGCTAAGAGCAGCATTCTCACAGCAGCCTCAAAAACTCAAAAGGGAAGGGAAAAATTATTCAACGTGCTATGCTGCAGCAATTAATTATTTGGAAACACAAAATCAGTTTACATTCTCATCTCCCATCATTCACATTCACCAAAATCATTCCAGTTAGAGTCAATGTAAAGTTCAATGTAAAGATGAAAGATATAAAAATTAGAAAACATACGGAAGCCTATGTACTAATATCTGGAATAATAAAGACTCTTTGAGAGTAAAGAGAATTCAAAAAAATTCATTCGTGTTGTAGTATTATCGATATCTCTTGAGTAGCTATACCACATCTTGTTTATCCATTTATCAGTTAATGGACATTTGGACAGTAAACCTTGAAAACGTGCTAAGTAAAAGATGCTAGATACAAAAGGCCACATACTGTGTGATTCCATTTACATGGACTATCCAGAATAGGCAAGTCTACAGGGACAGAAGATAAGTGGGGAGAAAATGGGCTGTGACTGCTAATGGATGTAGGATTTTCAGGGGGAGGAGGTGAAACATTCTGCAACTTGATAATGGTGGTGGTTGCACAACTTCATAAATATATACTAAATGTACACTTTAAAAATAATTTTAAGACAAAAATTTTGAAGATCCACAAAAGAAGCAAATATATTTGACTACAGAAATGTGGAAACTTCTCTCATGAGTCAAAAATTAACATAAACTGAATTTTAAAACCAAGCAAAAAATACAGGCCTAAATAATATTTTAAGATACTGTGATTTAACAGATATCCATAAGAAAGCATTTTGCTTTGGGCAGAAATATGAAGAAGTAATTAACTAAAAAAGAAAAACTGATAGGAAATAACCAGCCTCACTTACAATAAAAAAAATGCGATTCGTGACCCACCTGGGCAGTGAGACCTCATCTCTACAATAAATCAAAATATCAACCAGGCGAGGTAGCGCAAGCCTGTAATTCTGGCTACTTGGAAGACCGAGGCGGAAGGATCACCGGAGCCCAGCAGGTCGAGGCTATAGTGGTCGGGAGCGGCCACCGCACTCCAGTCTGGGTGACAGAGTGAGATTCCAGCTCAAAAAAAAAAAAGAAATGCAAATTAAACTGATCTAAATTTTCGCCTACCAAATTGGCAAGGTTTCTGGTGGTGGTAGTGTTTGTTTTAATTATGATATGAAGTTGGCTATTAGATAAAATCATTCTTTTGAACCTCTGTAGGGAAGATAAACTTGTACAGCGTTTCTTCAAAACAATTGGCAACATATATCAAAAACTTAAAATATGCATGCATACCATTTTGTACAGTTGATTCCTTGCCTGAGAAGCACTCCCATAAAGAAATCTGATTTAGGCGCCAGTATTTGTACACAAAGATAATTATCAAAGCATTATTAATATTTTTTAAAATCAGCTACAATTTATATGACTAAAAAACCTAGATTTGGTTAAGTATTTCATAGTATATTTATGGGATCAAGTATTATTATAAAAGGTCATTAAATATTACATTTACAAAATGTCTTAATAACATGGAAAAATCATTATGGTATAATGGGTTCAATGGAAAACAGAATATAAAATGTGTTAATAGCATATTCTCAATTGCCTAAACTATACATAGAAAGGGATTTACATAGAAAGGGATTTGCCAAACTTTGTTAACAACAATTTTCTCTAGGATATGGAGCTATGGGTTATTTTTAATCTCTTATCTAAATTTTCCCTTTATGTCTTACTTATTTCCCATAAAGATATATTACTTTCTATTTGTAAATATACTTTCATATTCATAAAAAATAATCATCTTCATAAAAATTAATTGAAGTAAAAGTCCCTCATTAGAATGTGTGTATATGTGCATGGGTGTATAATTTTTTGATCTACCCTAATCAACCCAGCAAATGTATTAGCAATAATTCTATACATTTA